AAAACAGAAAAAAATATCTCAGACAGAAACTGCGCATGTAATGAAGCGTGGAAACAAAAGCAAGATTTTGTTGATCAGATTAATTTTTCATGCTTTTTCACAAGACAAACCCAATGAACTAGCTATTGGACATTTCCATGGCACTTTTTTGTTGTCACAACACCTCATAGATTTTGCATGGAAATTATGAACGTTTGCTTTCAGACAGACTGAAGCAGCGGCGTTGGCTCATTATTATTGAATGTGGGGAAACAATCTGATTAAATATTGCAAATTCAATTACTATCCATGATGAAGTCGCTGATAAACTGTAAGTCTGATGTTAGTCCTTATCAACAGAGACACACAATGTGTTGACAGAAGCAAACAGGCCACTAAACGTAAGTACAGGAGGACATTCAATTGGAAGGAAGTTCATGAAAAGATTGATACTTCTTGTATGTCAGGACATGATTTCCACTGGGACTGAAATCCTATTTTCTGATAATCTTGCTGTCATTACTCCAGGTTGATTTTCTTACTGTAAGGATAAACTGCACAGCAGACTAACCCAACTCAGAGCAGTTTCCTGTCAGGATAAAATTGACACAATTTCTCATACATTAAACATAAAAACTAAAAGGGTAAAAAAAAAATCAGAGTGCTACTTGATCATCCCAAAAGGGAATAGTGTTTTTTTCACCGTTTTTTTCCTCTCTCCTCCCACAAGTTCAATCAGTTCTTCGATTGAACTGAAAATTGGTTGAACAAAAAGGGGCCTATTTATCATTTCAAACTACGCCATATTAAGTCCTCACCCAATGAAGTAATGCAACTGTGTATGTTGGTCAGCTTTGAGGAGCTGACCAGGGCTCTAGTTCCATCCTCTGCCGCGCCCTTTACCACCCTCCAGGAAGCCCTCTTTGAGGCTCACTCTCCACAGTTTGAATACAGGAACCGCAGACTGCCCCCTTTATCCGGCAAAATGACAACCACAGACAATGAATCCTTCTCTATTTGACACAGAGCAGACTCCAAAAGACATTTTGTTCTGTCGTGGCCAGCTGTTGGCCACTCTCCCCCTGCAGCTTCAAAGAGAAGTGAGCAGAGTCAGGACTGACAGAGAGGGGCATGTTTGTGTGGACAAGACAGCCTGAGTGAGGGGTGGGTGTATCAAGTGTGACGAGCTAAAAGGAGGGAAAAGGGAACCAGGTCGATCTCATTTTCTCATAAAGCACAAAAGAGTTTGGCTGCAGAGTGTCAGTGAGGGACAGATGTCAGGACATCACACATGCTATGTTAGGGAAAACCACACAAGAGGTGGACATGCACCAGGGTACCACCGGAGATTTCCAGCTCTTCCTCTAACACCCTGTAATAGTGATTCGATTTTACAATCAGTGGATGCAAATTGGAATATGCTGACAGCCAATCCATCACGTTTTGGCATCAATCTGTTGAGCAGCCTGCCACTGGCTTGCAGACATTTTATTCAGACAGTTTGCTCCCAGAATGTCCAATATAAGTCTGCATGTGATATTCAGTTTTCATTTTCATTAGAGGCACAGACTTTGCAGCCTCTTACAAATGCACCGTGTTACTGTGAGGACGAAAACAGAGGAAAGTGGACAGTGTTTCTCTAAATTGTTGTATTTTATTCAGCAGGGAGCCATATTTTACCTAGTGATTTGACATAGACGATACGTATTAACAATGAAGTATGTATTTCTATTAGTTTGGATTCCAATTTGTGGTTTTGAAAAAAACATTTGCACTTATCACTTCTGTTTATATTGAAGAACAGTACTAATGGAGGAGAAGAAATATTAAAATCAATTTTTTGAAAGAAGTGTTTGTGTAGTGGTTACTTACTGAATACTGAAAAAACAGACAACAGAAATACCTTAATTCAGATTTTGGTGGGGTCTGGGTTCAGCCAAAGAGAACAGCATGTGCATCCAGTGGGAGCCTGGAGAATTACACCCACAGCCGGAGTCACCTGAGCAGGTTCAGGCTTTTGATTGGAGTGGGGAGCTGATCACCCCTCATGAGAGAACAAAAATGCGTAAGTGGATTTCAGAAAACTGTTTGGATATTTTCATATTTGAAAAAATCAATTTGACTTTCAAACTGCAAACAACCTACACAAATACGGGTAATTTCACTCGGTGAAATCTATAGCATGAAAAAGCAGCATGGACCAAATGCTTCAGTTTTGGTGGATGCTCCTTCAATAATTCATTCTTGCACCTTTACCTGCTGGTGTGTAATGCTCCAGCCCACCTGCCACTCTGGGAATAAGTGGGTATGATTCAAGGATGGAAGTGCCATTTCTGTCACCGATTAATCCACTAATGGTGGAATTTCCAGAATAGTGTCAGAACTTTTCTGTCTTCTTTTCAGCTTTTTTGTGTATATGTACCGGTACTTAAAAAAAAGTTTTCTCTGTGAAGGCACTTAAAACATTTTCTTAGATGATTAGTTTTAAGTTTTTATATAATTTTAGAGTTTTCAAAAAGTGGATTTAGTTTATATTATATCTAAACTCTCAATAAAGAGTTGGAATCAAAACAGGTCAGCAGTTTTTAATGGAGTTATAAACTAAAAAAAAGATTCATAGCTTTAAGATCTGTGTAATAACTTACCAAACTGCATCATAGTTTGTGTCTTAATTGATAGCCTCATTAAAAAGGCACACTTTTGGAGTGTCAAGGCTTTACTCTCCAGAGTGGAAGTGGGAGTTTTCCCTAATGAGTTGTGTGTGGAAAAGCTTAAGGAATGAGAGCCTCGAACAACAAGGGACAGAATAAAAGAGTATAGAACAATTATTGAGAATTCTAAACACACTTTCACAACTCACTCTCCTGTAACTCCTGCAGTCTTGGTTCACTGAGTTCATGGTGTTTTGCAGTCTGAAGGCGTGGACTCAGTCTTACTTGTTTTCTCTCTCACCAAATCCTTCTCCAGAACTCAATACAAAATAGTGTGATTAATTAGTATGGCCAGCAGCGACAGAGGGTCCAAATAAGTTGTCATCACAGGTTTCCAAGCTGTCTCTCTTAGGTGTAATTCAAAACCAATCACACTGCCATTTCACTTACTTAGACCCTGCAGTCATTCGCCCACATATATTTAACACTATTCAAAACTCAAGGGACCATATTTAAATTGTGGATGGGAAAGGTAATTAATCAGATCGATTCATATCTTTCATCAGAAATGAATAGCTTTGCTTGAAGGGGTAATGAACTTGAGTGGATCTCAATCCTTGTTTTGATCAGTGCCTGTCTTCAGAGGGAGATGCTGCTGTTGCCATCAGCTGCTCCAGAGCAGTAAGCTAGAAATTGTGGTCATTATTTTTTAAACCCATTTCAGCCTGACGGCTGAGAAGTGATGCAGGAGCCCCCCTGCAGGATCTCTGGAGAACTGTTGTGATTTCCCCTCATGAAAAACCTGCCATAGCAACAGTTTACAGATCAATATATAACTATGCTTATTCATCCATTACCCAGCATGCTTTATATCGAATAGTATGTCGCATGCATGTTGCATTTTGCATTGTACTTTAGAATTTTTTACCTGAGAAGAAACCTCCTTAAAATAACCTTTGCTCATGATTCATCTTCTGCTTCAGTTAAATGAGATAAAACAAACAAAGAAAGAACTTTCTGAACCGCACAAACAAATCAATTCATAATTTGTCACCGGCCGTATGAGACAAATTGATGTTTTATGGCATAATTATGCAGATGCAGAGAAGGCTGCCCATGAAATCCATCATAATTACTGACAGTGGGCTTTTAATGATAATGAGCAACATATTAGAGGAGGAGTATACATGTGATTGAACAGCTGAGGACACAAGACACAGAAGACAGGAAATACTCCCATCTTTTATTCTTAATTGTGCTACATTGAAGTGAGTCTATCTCTGTGCAAATGTACGAATTTTACCACAAAAGCAAGCTAAATATGATTAATTCAACTTAATGGGTCCATACAGACATTACTACGGTTATGGAAACGAGGCAGCCCCTCTGGGGATACTTGCATGGCAATCAGGGTGTAGCAAGGGTGGTAAATCCAGTGTACAATAACACAGTAAAGCACGATAAATTTTAATATATGAATGAGTTAATAGCTTAAATAATATTTTCAGTAGATAATCACTGTAGAAAAGAGAGGAAAGACAGAAAAGCTCCGTCCAAAGAAATGTTAAACTTGTGGAGGACAAAGTCCCGACATGTCTGTGTTCAGTATTTAGTTCCAGAATGAAAATTATAATGGTACAACGCAAGTTTTTTTTTCTTCTTAGTAGTCAATAATAGTCATCAGTAAGCAATTCACATTCATCATTAGTCATAAACGGTCACTGTATTTGGCTATTGCTGCAGGCAGGATTCACCTGATTGCAGCAAAGATGAGGAAATCTCTGCTCCAGCACACCTCATTATGTCATCACTCTGAAATGTGGGGAATGTGCAGTATTGCTCAGCAAGATTTTGTGTCATTCTTCTTTGCACAATCAACCCA